GGTCTGCAACCATCCCCTCTGCAAACAAAGAGCTGGCTGAATACCTGATACTGCAGGTTAATGAGGGACGCATTCACACCCCTCACCCACCACATCCTGGTAGTAGTCACTGTAAGGCCCCCTTTGTACTTTGTGGATGATGCAATCAATATGGGACTGAATGATATCCTATAATATCTAGATGCAGTTAGTTTAGCGACATGTTCAAGGCTGTCAGCTGTGCACCCCCAGCTTCCCCAGAGAAAGGAGAGTCTGGTTTGGTGCAGCCACAGAGCAAGGAAGCTCAAAGCAGACAGTAAGAACCTTGTTCAGAACTGGGATCACTATTACGAGGAACAAACCAAAATGTGAGGAGCTGAAGAAATGACCCACGAAGACCTCTTAACAAAAACAAAAGAGATCCTCTTTTTACTTATCCTCTTTTTACTTTAACTTTTCATGAAATCCAAACATATTACCACAATCACTGACAGAGACACAGGAAAAAATTAAATATAGTTCTTTGAGCCAACAGGTCATTTCAGTTCAATCTCCCACAAGCTGTTTGTGACTAGAAAGTTTGACTAGGACTAAATTACATCTGCAGAGCTTATGGGGTGTTCCCTGTTTGCAGGAAGAAACAGTGGTTCTGATGGAGACTGCACAGCGGTCTATATCTGCGTGCCTGTTAAACACACTCTTTCAAAATGCTAATGTCCACATTTTGGACAAAGGTTTGAGAGAGGAGTGAACGACCCTCTTTGAACAGACGTGGCGTCTTACACCGACGGCGTCTGCCATCTACAATCCAGCTTTGAGATCCTTCCCAGACTCCTTAATACACATCCTGGGCCTTTTGACTTCAGTAAGTCACATGATTGGGGGGGCAAGGTCTCACAATGGGTTCACCTGAAACCTTGGCTGAGTGTGACCCACCCCATTTTCACACCTTGGCTCATGTGATTATGCAGAGAATCAATAGGGGGTCAACGGCCTTCTTAGGGACAATAGGGCTCAAAATCTGGGACTGATTCTCAGACGAAACGTCTTCAAGAAACTGAACGTAGTCCTTCCATTACTATGATGTGGACGAGTGAAAACCTTCACACACACACACGTTTGCCACATATTTTTATTTTTAGCAGTCATAACGTATTGTAGAAGATATATAAAACAGCTCTCTTGCATCAGCTCCTTCTTGGAAAAAAAAAAAGCAAAGCCAAAAACAACTATTCACAAGTTTTCTTTTGTTATAAAAAGAATAAGAGAGCACTGTATCTCCACTGTGGACATATGCCTGGTGTGTATTTGTGGTCCTCAACAAAATGGCTTTTATACTAACCAGAAGATCAAAACAAAAAAAAAAATAATAATAACAAGAAAAAAACAAATTGTCTTTTTTCTTGATCTTTTATGAAACCCAAACATGTTACCACAATTACTGACAGAGATCGAAACACATTAAAAATTAAATGCATTGTAAATATACTTCTTTGAGCCATTTCAGTTCAATCACTTTCAAGGTTTATGACTTGAAAGCGGTCA